GTTTGGGTTTAAAAGTCAACCCACAATATGCTGTCTGGTAGGAAAATATTTGTACTTTATGTCTGTTGCAAACCTTTAACCTCTGCACTCCTCTGACCTCTCCTGATCATTGTCTGGAGAAGCTGATAAGAAAGCTTGAGTGCTTCTTACTTTGGTGCCCAGTGAAGATGAAAAACTCAGCCCTAACCATGCTCCCTCGTATAATCACACGTGTACCCCAACCAGTTTTTTTTTCTCCTCTAAAGCCATGAGAGTTCTTCCTGTTGGGCCTGAACCCCAAAGCAAAGACTGGAATAATTGCATGGTATAAAACTTTTCAGTTTAATATATCAATCGTTGATGGGAAATACCTATTTCATGTTATGTCTAAGATGTTTGATACTCAGACAGTGATGTTAAGCTCAACTACCTATGTGGTAGGGTAATAATAATAAGCTTCTTTTAGGGAGGGTTAACAACCTAAGTTTGCAGACCAAAAATTAGAGAAAAAGAAGGGCTGCAAGGACAGCCAGCACTTTGGTTTAGTCTTTCAGGGTCAGTGAGGACTCAAGACATAGGAGCACCTGTGTTGTAATATCATGTAACTCCATTGTGTCCCAAATTTTCTGATCAAGGAGATTATGTGGCTACAGAGTGAAGTGATGATGAAGTAGAGTGTACCTAAGGAGCGTGACATGGAGAAAAAAACATTCTCTCAGACTTCACGAAGATCAAATTGGTCAAGCAATGGCTGTAACTCATCCACGTAACTGACACTGACAAAGGATCTATAAACTTTGGCACATGGTTTCTGCAAAAATCCTGAGGGGATTTGACTAATGTTATCAGAGAAAAAATTACATTTCTTTTTATATAGACCTAGCTTTATCTTGGTCTTAACCATCCAGCAGAAAAGTATGAAAACCAAGTATTAAAAGTAAAGCGGCCAGTCCGAGCCCAGGTCCGGTGAGTGTGTGGGAGAGCTTCCTGCTACACTGCACCGGTGGGAATGACCACTGGTCCCAGCCCAGGTGCAGTGTGTGCGAGATCCTCTCCCACTACCTTGGGATGCCCACTAACACTCTGCAGCACCTCCCCCACCCTGCCCGCCGAGTAGGAATTCTTACCACGTCCTGGGAACCCCCAGACCCAGTCCTAGTTCCCGTGAGTGTGCAGGAGAGCTTCCCCTCCCCCACTCCACCTTGCCCCCTCCAGGCTCTGCTCAGGCCTGGCATACATGCCTGGGGTGTAAACCTGCAGCTGCAATCCCTGCAGAGTGTAGAGGATAGAACAAACCAGCAAGTCCAAGAGCAGAATATCTTGCCACAGAGGCACAACAGGTCCACCCTCAAGGGCAGCATCAGGAAGGAGCTGAGCAGAGCAGCCAGACCCAAGCCAGGCACAGCTGGATAAATCCAAACTTTGTACAGCTGCACCTGAACCTCAGTACGCACTAAGGTTATAACTACAGTGAACATCTACAACAAAGGTCAGAAGACAGTCTTACACAAAATGACAAGAAAGAACAAAATGGAACCTCAGAACCAAGCCCAACCGCAACAAGTGCA